AATGAAACAGAAACTGAAAGCTAAAATATATACCGTTCTAGAATGCCTCCGCAAACTATTGCTCCTTTGTAAAGCACGTGTTAGTAAGTGTAGTAAAAAGATAAAAATAATAAAGCTATAAAAATGAACGGAGCGTTGAAAATCTGAGAGGGTGAGACTGAGAGGTTCTTTAATTAATAACTTAGAGCGTAATAAGGAATATGAATATCTCCAAACGGAGTTTTCTGAGAGGGTGAGAGGTTCTTTAATTAGAGCTAATGATAAAATGAGACCCACTAAAGGTACTAAATTAACCGGACTGCTAGCAAGGAATCGAGAGTGGAAATAAAAATAAAAGCGGAATAAATTTTAAGATAATGAAACAGAAACTGAAAGCTAAAATATATACCGTTCTAGAATGCCTCCGCAAACTATTGCTCCTTTGTAAAGCACGTGTTAGTAAGTGTAGTAAAAAGATAAAAATAATAAAGCTATAAAAATGAACGGAGCGTTGAAAATCTGAGAGGGTGAGACTGAGAGGTTCTTTAATTAATAACTTAGAGCGTAATAAGGAATATGAATATCTCCAAACGGAGTTATCTGAGAGGGTGAGAGGTTCTTTAATTAGAGCTAATGATAAAATGAGACCCACTAAAGGTACTAAATTAACCGGACTGCTAGCAAGGAATCGAGAGTGGAAATAAAAATAAAAGCGGAATAAATTTTAAGATAATGAAACAGAAACTGAAAGCTAAAATATATACCGTTCTAGAATGCCTCCGCAAACTATTGCTCCTTTGTAAAGCACGTGTTAGTAAGTGTAGTAAAAAGATAAAAATAATAAAGCTATAAAAATGAACGGAGCGTTGAAAATCTGAGAGGGTGAGACTGAGAGGTTCTTTAATTAATAACTTAGAGCGTAATAAGGAATATGAATATCTCCAAACGGAGTTTTCTGAGAGGGTGAGAGGTTCTTTAATTAGAGCTAATGATAAAATGAGACCCACTAAAGGTACTAAATTAACCGGACTGCTAGCAAGGAATCGAGAGTGGAAATAAAAATAAAAGCGGAATAAATTTTAAGATAATCCTAAAATATATCTAAATAATAACCAAATATGGTGAAATTAAGCCCCTCACAAAGTCCCTTTGTTTTTTCCATAGTATACAGTAACCTTTTGTATTGTATGTGATGAGTCCTAATGATCTGAAGCACCTGTTGTCTTAAAGGGAAACACAAATCTACTGATTTACACAACTCATTACGGCAATGAAATGGTTGGAAACGAAAAAGGGAGGGGAAGATAATATAACGCGGTTCCCAACTATTTCAGAGACTGATCGTTCACGGAGGCCCGGCTAAAGAGAGCATTTTAAATAACGCAAACCAAGTTAAAATAGGATGAAACCGGAATCCGACAGACATTGTCACTAACAAGGAACAGTGACTAGTTCTAGGGAACATATTCTTATATAACATATATTGTTCTCTAAGTAAATGAGCGAAAGTGACAGTTAATTAGCACGACAGTGAATTAGTGACAGTAAATTAGTGACAGTTAATTAGTGACAGTTAATTAGTGACAGTGAATTAGTGAAAATGACAGTGACAGTCCAAATGAAGAGATGTATATTGACTGTTAAATCACCGTGTGTGTGTGTAGGACCGAATAATATCGTGTATAAAGTCATCACGGCAGATAAAATATTAATACGGCTCTCCTTTAGAGGTCACGTGACTTATAGGTCGTCATGGCAACCGCCATTATGACGTCACGAAAAATGCAAAGTATGGGATGTCCTTATATATGCAATCTAATTTTAATAATATAAACGTGAACGATCCTATGTAATGATTACAAGAAAGAATGTAAATGTTGGTGAACTACGTCCCTGGATATTAAAAAGTTTAGCGCCGGCCCGGGCTCAGGGTTTGGGAACAAAATCAGATTTACGAGCCGAGATGATCGAATTTCCGATGTAGGTTGGATGTTCTAACATGTAGAGTGTTAAGTGATAACGTGTGTTGGCTTGTGTCCAAACTAGTCTGTCACGTGTGTTGGCTCGTGTCCAAACTAGTCTGTCACGTGTGTTGGCTTGTGTGCAAACTAGTCTGTCACGTGTGTTGGCTTGTGTCCAAACTAGTCTGCCACGGCCCACGTGTGTTGGCTTGTGTCCAAACTAGTCTGTCACGTGTGTTGGCTCGTGTCCAAACTAGTCTGTCACGTGTGTTGTCACGTGACACACTGGTTCAAGTCTGAGGGATTCTGTGGAAATTGTCGCTTAATCAGTTGAATCCATTAGATAATACTGATACTTGGTCTATTCCAGAACAATCTTCAAATTTTAGCACTGTCTGTAAATTCCACTTTTCCAGAACAATCTTCAAATTTGTAAAGTGATTCTATATGTGAAATTAAAATTCCAGTCGATCTTAACCTAAAGTAATGATCGAGTATGTACTTTTTCTGAGCGATGACGTTAAACAAGCTGCAAGCATGGTTAAATCACCATCATCACGTCAGGAATTCCAAGAATTTAACGAAATCACGCATCCAATATTCCAACCAACAAGATTACCTCAAAACTAATCCCATTTTCACACTTTGACGAAAGCAGAATGCTCTATCTACCCTCATCCTTACGTCAAAGCCACAGTGTAAAAACTCACAACTCCGCTGTTAAGCTGCAATGATGAAATATCTCGTGCACACACACTACAGGACAAAAAGAGGTTTAAAAAGCAGAGAGATGACCATATCACACGGCTGAGTCGCTCACACACGATTATCAAGCAGGGGCAGTGTGAGGGAGGCAATGTTTTAAAGCTGGTGAGAACTGTGGAACTCGTGAGATGGTCTTGGAGAAGTGCCAAGATTGGAGATGAGGACTTCACATACAGTGGTTTTGTAAAGGCCTGAATCTTCACTGTGCATAATTTTATTGAGGACTGAATCTTCACGAACAGTCATTTTATTGAGGACTGAATCTTCACGAACAGTCATTTTATTGAGGACTGAACTTCACGTACAGTCATTTTATTGAGGACTGAATCTTCACGTACAGTCATTTTATTGAGGACTGAATCTTCACGTACAGTCATTTTATTGAGGACTGAATCTTCACGTACAGTCATTTTATTGAGGACTGAATCTTCACGAACAGTCATTTTATTGAGGACTGAATCTTCACGAACAGTCATTTTATTGAGGACTGAATCTTCACGTACAGTCATTTTATTGAGGACTGAATCTTCACGTACGTCGTACAGTCATTTTATTGATGACTGAATCTTCACGTACAGTCATTTTATTGAGGACTGAATCTTCACGAACAGTCATTTTATTGAGGACTGAATCTTCACGAACAGTCATTTTATTGAGGACTGAATCTTCACGTACAGTCATTTTATTGAGGACTGAATCTTCACGTACAGTCATTTTATTGAGGACTGAATCTTCACGTACAGTCATTTTATTGAGGACTGAATTTTCACGTACAGTCATTTTATTGAGGACTGAATCTTCACGTACAGTCATTTTATTGAGGACTGAATCTTCACGAACAGTCATTTTATTGAGGACTGAATCTTCACGTACAGCCATTTTATTGAGGACTGAATCTTCACGTACAGTCATTTTATTGAGGACTGAATCTTCACGTACAGTCATTTTATTGAGGACTGAATCCTTACGTACACTGTACAGTCATTTTATTGAGGACTGAATCTTCACGTACAGTCATTTTATTGAGGACTGAATCTTCACGTACAGTCATTTTATTGAGGAGTGAGGACTCAATCTTCATAAGTTCATATATTATGCAGCTATTTTATTCGGCTTTGCCTATTTTCTGAGTTTGTGCAAAGCATTTTGCCCGTATCTTGTGATTAGCGTATCATTTACCTACCAGTTACTACAGTAGAACCCACAACAACATACCTAAGCTATCAAACAGCAATTCCAGTGTAACAATACACACGAGGCGGGAGTGTGTGGGTACTGTTCAAATCTCTGATACATGATTAAAGGGCAGCTTGAGCTCACACGTGACACGAGACATAATGACCACGTGACACGTGCGTAATAGTCACGTGACACGTGCTCTCAATGATAAGGTGTAAAGATAGCCAGCAGGAGGTAGGATTGAGATATACATAATCATAACGTGTGTTGTCAGGGTACACTCTCAAACATTTTGTACTTTATATCACCGTGTGGTCATTTTAACTGTCAACCGTGAGGTCTCATCATATATTTCTTCATGATATTTATAGCCCCCATTTTTCAGCCCCAAGATAAATTCTTTAAATCGAGTAAAAACATAGTACTGATAAACGTAAATTTACGTATCATACTCAGTTAAAGATGATATGAGGTAAATGTAAATCTCTAACACTAATCTGCGGAGCATGAAGCTTGACGTGTGTGTTCAGTGTAACATTTCATGAGAGGAGCATTAGTCCGACCACCAGATGGCGCTGTAAATGTCACGTGACGCGATGTAAATGTCACGTGACGTCACGTGACGCGCTGTAAATGTCATGTGACGTGACAGCAACTGTGTGCTATGTGTGTGCTGTAAAATGTGGTGTGCAAATCAAGGGGAGAAGTAGATACAATTATTATTTCTATCACGTGAAACTTATCCACAACAAATCATTAAGAAGAAGTGATGTGAGGCGTGCATGATGACGTAATTATAAAACTGCCCACCCTGGATATCTCATCCAATTTTCTAATTTTCCCATTCACCCTTTTAAAAAAAGTAAAAGTGTAAGGTTACGAATGGTGAAATGGAAAAAAGTGGGATTTTAGAGACGGGGTGGGTGGGTGGTTCTAGACATGTCGCCATTCCTTCCTCAAAAAGAATTTAATAAACTTGTAATTAAAAACAATTTAATAGACTTGTAATTAAAAACAATTTAATAGACTTGTAATTAAAAACAATTTAATAGACGTGTAATAAAAAACAATTTAATAGACTTGTAATTAAAAACAATTTAATAATATTGTACTTACACCGCAAGAACTAGAACTCCTTCTTTTTCTCTGTTGGATTTTGTTCATACACATCTTGTTAACGTTAGGGAGGATACTCTTCGTGTTCTCGTCTGAATCTGTACCATCACTCGCTCCTAACATCCAGTAACACCCCTGGGAGAACTATAATTAACATCCAGTAACACCCCTGGGAGAACTACAATTAACAATTAACATTCTAAAACTGCGGGTCAGGGTTATAAAATCAATATTTCATTTCGTGGAGGACGCGATACTTTGCAACATGATGCAATATTATCTCGCTCCAATACATCAGCTACTTTAATTACAGCCCCCCCCCCCCCCCACATTAATTACAGCCTCCCACATTAATTGCAGCCCCCCCCCCCCCACATTAATTACAGCCTCCCACATTAATTACAGCCTCTCCAAATTAATAACAGCCCCCCCCCCCCCCCTCCCACACGGTAATTAGTAATTACCCATGTCCTCAGTTATCTCTGAGACATGGCCATATAATTATTATTATGACCTTATCACAACACGTATTGAAGGTATATTATTGCGTAACACACGAAACTAGCACCAAAGCGTAAGGTGAGCTGCTGGTGCTGCAGATGAACTGCAGTAATGGAGATATTCTGAGAGCGGAGATACCGAGTAATGGTATGGTAGTGAATAGATATTACCAGAAACAGAGTGCACACCACACCTATTAACAGAGTGCACACTTATTACCCGAGTGTAACAGAGTGCACTGTCTCCACACACCTATTACCCGAGTGTAACAGAGTGCACTGTCTCCTTACACTTATTACCCGAGTGTAACAGAGTGCACTGTCTCCCCACACCTATTACCCGAGTGTAACAGAGTGCACTGTCTCCCCACACCTATTACCCGAGTGTAACAGAGTGCACTGTCTCCCCACACCTATTACCCGAGTGTAACAGAGTGCACTGTCTCCCCACACTTATTACCCGAGTGTAACAGAGTGCACTGTCTCCACACACTTATTACCCGAGTGTAACAGAGTGCACTGTCTCACCACACCTATTACCGAGTGTAACAGAGTGCACTGTCTCCCACACTATTACCCGAGTGTAACAGAGTGCACTGTCTCCCCACACTTATTACCCGAGTGTAACAGAGTGCACTGTCTCCCCACACCTTATTACCCGAGTGTAACAGAGTGCACTGTCTCCCCACACCTATTACCCGAGTGTAACAGAGTGCACTGTCTCCCCACACCTATTACCTGAGTGTAACAGAGTGCACTGTCTCCCCACACTTATTACCCGAGTGTAACAGAGTGCACTGTCTCCACACACCTATTACCCGAGTGTAACAGAGTGCACTGTCTCCCCACACTTATTACCCGAGTGTAACAGAGTGCACTGTCTCCCCACACCTATTACCCGAGTGTAACAGAGTGCACTGTCTCCACACACTTATTACCCGAGTGTAACAGAGTGCACTGTCTCCCCACACTTATTACCCGAGTGTAACAGAGTGCACTGTCTCCCCACACCTATTACCCGAGTGTAACAGAGTGCACTGTCTCCCCACACCTATTACCTGAGTGTAACAGAGTGCACTGTCTCCCCACACTTATTACCCGAGTGTAACAGAGTGCACTGTCTCCACACACTTATTACCCGAGTGTAACAGAGTGCACTGTCTCCCCACACTTATTACCCGAGTGTAACAGAGTGCACTGTCTCCCCACACCTATTACCCGAGTGTAACAAAGTGCACTGTCTCCCACACTTATAATCCGAGTGTAACAGAGTGCACTGTCTCCACACACCTATTACCCGAGTGTAACAGAGTGCACTGTCTCCACACACCTATTACCCGAGTGTAACTGAGTGCACTGTCTCCCCACACTTATTACCCGAGTGTAACAGAGTGCACTGTCTCCACACACTTATTACCCGAGTGTAACAGAGTGCACTGTCTCCACACACCTATTACCCGAGTGTAACAGAGTGCACTGTTTCCACACACCTATTACCCGAGTGTAACAGAGTGCACTGTCTCCACACACTTATTACCCGAGTGTAACAGAGTGCACTGTCTCCCCACACTTATTACCCGAGTGTAACAGAGTGCACTGTCTCCCCACACTTATAACCCGAGTGTAACAGAGTGCACTATCTCCCCACACTTATTACCCGAGTGTAACAGAGTGCACTGTCTCCCCACACTTATTACCCGAGTGTAACAGAGTGCACTGTCTCCACACACTTATTACCCGAGTGTAACAGAGTGTACTGCCTCCCCACATCCCTCAATAGAGATGAGCTTGTTGGAGGATTCGCCGTGATGTGCTCGCTCAATGTACACTCTAATTATGACATCTTTTGTTAACTAGGTACCGTAGAAGTTTAAAGGATATCATGATATAACGTGTGCAGCATAACAAGCTTACATGCTCATATTTTACATGCTATAAGATATTATATCATTATGGAATTAAATGGGAAAAAGAAATAACTTGGGCTGACTGCTAAAATCATCTGGAAGGAAATTGAACTTGTTATCGTTTACCCATGGACTAGGGTAACGTATCGGGGCTCAGTAATTCATTCTTATTTCTTACACCCTTAAATTATTTAAGTTAAAGTTAATTACCTTTCCCGGGTCGTCCTTACTGCGAGGGACCTTTCTGAAGCACTTGTTCAGGGACAGATTGTGTCTTATCGAATTCTGAAAATTATAACATGATTTAATTTAAAACTTAGGTTAAACATACTTGTGGATTCACAGCATGAAATTGCTAGTATTAATGTACAATGTAAATATATAATGGTATGCGTTAGTAAGGTCATTATATAATCAGCTTACTGTAGATTGTTTAATAGAGTCAGAGACCCACTCGATAATTTACACAGTACTGATAAACAGTACAGAGTACGTCCGCCCACAGACAAGAAAGAAAGTTATATATATTAGACAACTAGCTTATCACTTCTCAGATGATAGGTAAGTTGGGTTATTGCTCAACAGATCAGCTAATTAGTTAATTAATTATCTATTATCTAATCAATTAACTCACTTTCCAACCGTTTCCAGCACCCTTGTAGTAAGGAAAGTGGTGTAAGATCCAAGAGTATATTTCACTGAGTGTTATTTTGCGCTTGTCTGACGAGTTGATGGCGAAGGTAATTAGGTTTGCGTAGGAGTATGGTGGCTTGACAGAGGGGTTCTGAGGTTTTGTCGAAATTTATTATATTATGAAAGGTACGTCCTGTTTACATAGTATATCTATATTTCAATACAATAAAGTATGGAACTGGTAAATCAATTTTGAGAATTTATATATAATAGATTTTTATGAATGATATTGCACAGAAAATCACGATTTGCTAAATTTTAACTCACCAGACTTTCCTCACTAGGTACGTATTTAGCGTTTATATCAACAATATGGGAGTTTGCTTTCCTTGTCTGAAGCAAGTATAAGTTGTAATATATCAGTTATTTAATATCAACATTAAGATGTGTAATTCAGAACACCAGAGTCTATTCATATGGTGTAGGTACTTGTTTCATCCGATGATATAAAATGTTTTACTTCTATTTAATTAAGCAATAATTTGATGATCATTATTAAACAATACTACATTGTGTATACTATATTGTGTATCATCTAATCTCAAAAATACTAACCTTAGGTGCCTCAAGGACATATGTAGAATGTGAGATGTTGTTCATTGCTCCACCAGCAGAAAGGCGAGGTAACCAGTCCATAGCCGTTAGGCTGGCCGATAAATCAGGAGCAGACATTTCACACTTATGATCAGGTCCTTTATACTATACCATGGCTTTTCTAAAACACTGTTGCTTGAAACTTATTAGTATTTAAAAAACATTAATCATTTCTAAGATCATTGATATTGCCTCACTAAAATCAACCAATATTCATTAAAACCCTTGATTTACTGCAAACCCCCGATATACCGAAAACCCTGATTTACTGCAGATAATTCCTTTTCCCCAATTTTTCCTCAAATTTGTTCGAAAATATGATTTTTTGTGTTTTATCGTCTGAAGTTGGTACTTTTTATGCTATCAACATCTTCGAAATTGGTATCAAGGTCTCCCTGAAGTCAAATGTGATATATATTTGATTATTTCTTCTAGATGTCTCCACCCCGAACAGTTGTTCCTTCAATTTCAAAGTGTTTGGCAAGTGGAAAAAAGTTGCTATTCAACATTTGCATCACTTATCATTTCATGTTCAAGAAGGGTGATTCTCCGGGACTGGACGTGATCCTGACGGTACTCAGGACGTGATCCCTTACAATAACCAAGACTCAAGGCGAGCTCATTAGCTAGGTTCAAGGTGTGCTTGTAAGCACGTGCTTGTTTCTTATTACGCCTCCACTCCTCTGATACTTGGCAGAAATTTCCTATGACAGGGTACCAATTGGTTTTAGGAAATGATATGATATATGTTATTCTATTGATGTATAGTCAAGATGTGAGTGTTAGGGCTCTCATTAGCAAATTTGCGTTTAATCCTGTTTATGAATTTGATCATATTATGTTCCAATATGAAGGCAGCAAGAATTTATTTTAATAGTTTCACGCTATTGAATATGCTAAGTACAATCGTGAAATTATCGAAAATATTACATGTTGATGTCTGAAGGCCTTTTCTATCTCTTTTTTACCAATTTCAGAGCCCAAAAACCAAAACCTCTGATTTACCACAAACCCTGATTTACTGCAGGTTTTGCCTTTCCCCCAAAGAATAAATAATTATAACACTTTTGGTGGATTCGTGTAGTGTTATTGAGTCTTATGATTTGATATTTCTTTCATTCAAATTTCTGATTGTTTCTGAATAGACTCAGTGAAGACAGATTCTAATGGAAATAAATAGTTGAAAAACGTATCAAAATTTCTACATTATACTCATATTCTGAAATAGTGTTAATTAAATTATAATGATTAAGATTTGCAATACAAATTTTACGACGAAATTTATTTCAAACAAATATATAACTGTAAAATAGTTTTCCTCTGCCTGGCAGGAGGCCTCCAAACCGTAATATCGCCCACCTGTTGGCATTCCTTCCCTTCTTAAAGAAGAAACGTAAAATTGGACAAATTAGGTGATTTTAGAGGATATGACAGTAAAATCTCTAAAGGAGTGTGTTTCTAGAGCAAAACAAAAAATTGTCCCACATTCAAACGACGATTTGGTGCCCTCCTAAGATTGCCCCTAAGATAACTATGTTTACTGATGGAACCTTCATATTGTCGTTACTAACAGTCATTGTAACCGTATCATTCAAAAGACCCCACAGCTCCTACATGGATGCAAGGCAGGGAGACAATTTAGTAAAAAAATAATTTTGGTAAAACAAAGACAGAATAAAACAATAATAGTGACTGGAAGCCTTTCACACGAAAGGGGGGGGGGGGGGTATGAAGTTGAGAAAGAGGGGGGATATTTCGATATAAGGCTTATTTTGACGGGGGAAAATATTAAATTTTAAAAGTCGATTTTGAGGGTGAAGATCGCGTTTTTACTACCCCATCCACAGGGCCCCTTTTGTTTTGACAAAATTCTCTAGTTTCCTTTGGTATTTTAAAATTTAAATTTGACTTGGTTGGTGACGATTTGTGCTTTGTCAAAGTGGAAGCTTTTAAAAATGAAAGCAAAAGTCTTTAAACTCAAAACTGCGCGTTGGTTTTATAATTGGTTTTATGTTACTGGGTGGCGCTCAGCCTGACATTCCGCCGAATCTTTATTGTTTATGAACATAATAGCCTGGGCCCCCAGGTAAGTTCTATGGCCCAGGAAACCTTACTTGTTACTGGTAGGTGCCTAACTTCGAAAATAAAAGAAATAGAAACGTTTGGTTGTCAACAAAATGTTCGATTTGTAAAAATAACGTTTCCGCCGCAGGAGGAAAATTCAAGACAACGTAGATTTTGAATTATCGCGAAAAGTCTTATTTTATTATTTATTTTCATTCCAAATCGCGCAGCTTTAACTTTGCGGATTCTTGTTTTCTGATTGGCTGAATCATATCACGTGGCTAGGTGAAGCGCGACAGCAGCAGTTAGCAGCAGTCAGCATTGTCATACGTTGTATGACCCGCCGCGCACGAAGAGCACGGCTCCCCTTGTATCGTCGAAGACGATATACTACTATAGTGAAGCGACAGTGGGGGTCACCACGTGATACAAAGTCAGCAGCAGTCAGCAGTGCAGTTAGCAGCAGTTAGCAGCAGTTTCTTTCATCAGCAGTGCAGTCACCGATTTCCATAATCGTCTTGCAAGACTTGAACTAGAAGACTCACCAGCCCTAGCCAGGCACGCTTTTGCTGAGCAGAAGAAACTTGATTTAGGTTGGTTAAGAGCACTGGAATCAATGCTAATGATACTCGACGAGAACAAACTTGAACATCAACTTTACAACCCATTGTTATGTCAGGAAAGGGCACATAACCGATTTATCAATCTATGGGAAACAGAAAGACAAAGCAATAAGAAGCTTACGTTCTATAATAAAGTTAAAGGTGCTTTCGAGCAGGAGCCGTACCTCACGCTACCGTCGAGAACTGGAAGCAACTTAGTGGCTAGGATCCGAATGAGCGGACATAAGCTAAACGTAGAAACTGGAAGATATGGGAGCAGAACTGGAAGTCAACATCACAGAATTTGTGAATTCTGCAGCGAAAAGTCCATGATGGAGCTCTTTGTTAATCTTCCTTGTGTTGATCCGATAATAGAAGATGAAGAACACTTCCTTAGAACATGTCCCAGGTACCATTCCAGTAGGACTAACATGAAGGAGCCCACAAAGTCATTACTATTTCATGACATGAAGAGCCTCTTTCTACCGGAGCACATAGTGGAATTCACCAAATTTGTCGCTCAGCTATGCAGAACACGATTCCCTATAAAGAAGAAACACGAACATTAGTGTCTCAGTACGGGATATCACATCTCCTCCACAGCCCCTTCATTTTCACTTTTTCTTTACACTCATCAAACACCTTAATGGTAACGGATTTTCTATTTGGATTTCGGACTTTGACCTTTAGCTATGCTGATCTGACATTATCTCTCTGTAATATAGATCTATTTTTTGTAAACCTTGTAAACCTTGTAAACCTTTCATCTTTGCACTTTAGTATATGGAACAAATATTTTACGAGTATCACCCGTTAATAATTTAACTAAAGGTTCTCAAATCCAAATGTGCTTTTGACGGCCGGATATCATAATATGTACGATGTAATAAGAAACTGATCGTTTAAAATTTTGGCTTATTTATTCACCGCTGCGCGCAGTGTTGTGACCCCTCTTCGTCTTATTTTACACATATTTGGACGTTGCCAATTCATTCCATTGATAAATTTAAAGTTTTAACATTTTTATACCAAATTCTTTTTTAATTTGGTTCTAAAACGATAAAGCTTGCTTTTCGTGAAACTTTAATGTACTTTCGTAAAATAATTTTGATGTGGCAGCGATTTAAAAAAGAAATTAGTTAAAAATGATACAAAAAAATTGGACATTTTTTGATATTAAAACATGTATAACTTGGGCTGTGTTGACAGTAGAAAAATTAATTAACCTCTATCCGACAGCTTTAAAGGTTTTCTAGGCGCCGCGCAAATCCACGCGCGCATTTTAGCGTGTCAAAATCGTTTAAAACTAGAATTAGTTGATGAAGGAGCATAATGCAGATCATACGTTGTACGTGTACGTGGTGTGATCATTATAATTTCGCGCTATTTCTTGTTTCTACACTCGCTTTGAACTTTGGCTTTAACAGCAGTTATCGACTTTGCTGTATTACATAGTGTACTTGGTACATAATTGATCAAAAGGGCTCGTGTTACTTTAAAGTTTAACATCACTTTTGAATTTCACGAAAGCAGATAACAGATAAAAGGTAGGTTTTCGTTGAATCAAAGTAAGCTAATATCAATTAGAACGAGTATAATTGTTTTACTTTACTTAGCCAGTCAGTCTTGTTATATTAAACTATTACTTTTGAGCTTGAAAACAGACAAAACTTTGCTTATTTGTTTGTTTATTATTTTGTTTGTTATCAGAGAAAGAAGACAATATTACCTCTCGATTATTTCAGGTGAAGCTAAAACATAAAAGCGCTGAAAGACCAAGAAGCATCTCCTAAAGAGCTGTTGAATCAGCACGCTGAAGAAGTACAGAGACTGGCGAACAAGCTGGGCGCCGATAAACTCAGACAGCAGCAAACACTTCAAGTGAGCTTCGTGACGTTACCGTCGTTGTGACGTCATTGTCGATGTTGATCGAATGAATTTATTTGTATTCTAGAGATTCTATTTTAGCATTTGACAAGTAACAACTTTGGCTCTGTTTACTGTGCTGTAATGCAGTGAACGACCGGGATTCCCGGCGCCGGGGGAGGTGTTTATTCCCGGCCCCGGCCAATTTTGAGTTTTTGGCCGGGAATTGTAGATAAAAAAGTCACCTAAGAACATAAAAACTACTGTCTTATTTGACCCACAATTCATACTTACATTTACAACTTATCTTATATTGGTAAGGGATCAATTAGCCGAAGTTAAAATGGAAAGTGCCAATTTTACTTTAAAGTCTGAAGCACTGAGCGTGAAAAGTGATAATATGGACTCTAAAAGTGCCTGTTTCTTAATACTATGGTGTTCCGCCTCACTTCTATACTCCTATAATCGAGCACAGGACTTGACAAGCCCACTAAAACAAGTTGTGTAAAAAATACCACCAGTTCACGGCCCAACTACATTGTTTATTTGTACACCCAGTGAATTATTCCTTATACGGCGCGGAACATTCCTGGCCTAACGTGTGTGCCGTGTTTCTCCGCACTATCAGTTGACTACCACTCATGTAGTTGACTGCCACTGTACTCACATTTATGTGTTACTTGTTTTTCCGTGTTAGATTTAAATTGCTCGTGATTAGACACACGTTTGGTGAAAGGGGAGGGGATAGTTTTCACTTTTCAGACAAGGGAAGGGGCAAGGAAACGTGTTATTACTTGATTATTGATTTTTCACGTTTTAAGTGTGTGCTCACGTTTCCCGAGGGGTGTAAATCTCGACACGTGTTCAGTAATTATGTGTTTTATAAATACCCTACTGTTTACACTTTTTAAATCCCTTTAAAGCCAACAATATAATCCACAAAACTGACTCTTGGCACTCATGTCAGGATTTAAAACGGCCAAATAATGTGTTTTATAAATACCCTACTATTTAAACTTTTAAAAACCACTTTAAAGCCAGCAATATAATCCACAAAACTGACTCTTGGCACTCATTTCAGGATTTAAAACGGCCAAATAATGTGTTTTATAAATACCCTACTATTTAAACTTTTTAAATCCCTTTAAAGCCAGCAATATAATCCACAAAACTGACTCTTGGCACTCATTTCAGGATCCTAAACGGCCAAATAATGTGTTTTATAAATACCCTACTATTTAAACTTTTAAAAACCACTTTAAAGCCAGAAATATAATCCACAAAACTGACTCTTGGCACTCATTTCAGGATTTAAAACGGCCAAATAATGTGTTTTATAAATACCCTACTATTTAAACTTTTAAAAACCACTTTAAAGCCAGCAATATAATCCACAAAACTGACTCTTGGCACTCATTTCAGGATTTAAAACGGCCAAATAATGTGTTTTATAAATACCCTACTAAATACTCAGCACACCTACCACATATTGTACTCTTGGATTCGTCCGGACGAATTACTTTTAAGCATTAACAATTAATGTCTCACGATTAAAGAATAACGAAAAGTCTTATTGTGGAATTTATGCATTTCTTATAATGATACTTTCAACTTTTTCAGTTTAGAATTCTACAAAATAAGAAATCTTTCTGAAGCAGCCAGTCCTAGGTGGACGAAAAGAATTAGGAAGCTTCCAGTATCGAAGATTGCCCTCATCTACGTAAGTTCCGAATTTCATAAACTTCTGGAATAGTCATTTAGTTACCAAGATGTGATTTGGTACAGCTTCGGCTGGTGATACACTTTCTCTGGCGCAGGACTAACCCCCCTACAGCATGAGCAAGTATAGTGCCTTGGCACAGTGTGGCTTAGGGTTAATGAAAAGGAGATTAGCACCTCAGGCCATCCCAACACCGGGAGTGACCTAGCCTCGTATCTTGTTGTTGTATGTACATGAGTAGATTAACGATAAACATCAAACACGTGCCAATTAATTGTCTGTGTACATGAGTGAATATTGAATGTGAATTGTATAATTAGGGTTTGATGACATGCTTTATACCCCCCCCCCCCCCCCCTCTAGTGTGGAAATTACGCAGAGAAAACGTGTGTCAAAACGCATGTCAAAATGTTTGTCTTGGGACTTATTTCATATTTAACATAATTCTGGCAATTATCATACAATTCCGTCCCTAGAGTCACTAAGTCTACGTCTATTAACTTTATCAGTCACGTAACCTCGGGACACTCCCCATCACGTGTAACTTGTAATGGTAACGTTGTCGTGGTAACAGAAATGTGTTTTCAGGCTGAGCAGGAAGCTGTACAACAACCGGTCTGACAAGTTACAAGTGGTGGACCTACATCATCTAGAATCTAGATGTACAGGTTCGTTCATTTACTGATTGATAGCTATTTTAATGAACTTATTTATTTAGATTTATGACGTGTTTCTCAATTGACAATTTTATATCCTCGAGATAATGAAAAATGTAAAATTCTATGAAGGATACATTTTTAATGTTCAATTACATAAATGAAAAACGTAAGTTGACTAAATCGCTGCCTGTATTTGGATTATTTGAAAAAATCAATTTGGTGTGACCACAGTACCATAAGTCGCACTGAGCATAAAACCTGTGAGCGAATCACCATACTTAAAGAGTGTGTGCCAGCTCATGTCCGTCTTCATCTTCTTCCACGGTTTCTTCCATTCTCCAAAACCAATCCCTGCCCTGCTGTACGGCTGGACCATTCCTCTCACCTCTTCACAGACTAAGTCCCTCTCAGCACAATCTAGTTCCTTGTCTGGTCTCCAAACTCTCCCTGACCTGACTTGCGGTTAAATCGCCCTTATCATGTCATCAAAAAACTGCTGGTAGGACTGATGGAGTATCGGACAGGCTGCTGATGGGCAAGGCCACACTAGATGGTTGACTAAATAAGCAGATGTTACTCCGTGTATGGCCTACACCCTGCCACTTCCTCAGAAAACTGTTGGGGTGCTGCCTCTGCTCTAATCCACCGACCCAGGAACTTGATTGGCTTTTCCGCTACGTTTGGAATCACCGCTCCCCCTAGACACAGACTTTCTTCGACGCCTCCACTTCCACTGTTCTCTTCATACCATTCTACTTTTCATATCCTTCATCCGGGCACATGTCAAACAACTGGATGGATGATCACATCATTAATTATACGGCACTAATTGGTGATATAATTTGACCCCCTAATATAAATAATTGGGGTTCCCCTTTGTCGTGGGAATTTTGGGAATCACTTGAATTGTTACACCAAATGTGTCTGTCAACTTTGGAGTTCCTAGTATAAAGTGTTCTCGCTTTATGGCGACAATAATCAAAACTAAAAGGAGAGGGTGACGTGCCACACCCTCTGAAATCAATGAAATTTGGCCGCTAGACTGAATGTAATATTTCAGTTAACAACTCTACCTCGATTCGATGCAGTGGGAGAGGTTGAAGTTGACGTTCGAGCAGTCACCCTGGCGAACAAGAAATCTTTCAGGCCAAGAGGTTAGGTGACTAGAAACTCAATCACTATATCCGTGAAACTTGTCGGGAGCACTGTTATGTGAGTTATTTTACCTTCTAATTTCCAATGAGCATGAAAATTACCCAGGTTCATGGAATGCACGAAAATGAACAAAAATTAAGAATCTCCTAAAACTAAAAGTGCTCAGAACGGTTGAAAACTGGCCGGAAAGCGTTTAGATTGGTCCTAGGACCACTCAAACCAAGTTTGGGGATCACTGCATGTCCAAAACCGATGTAACCAATGTTCCAAAATGTTCCAATTTTGTCCCAATAACTCGTTCACCAGCATGCGCTGTGACCATCATGGTCACGGCGCAAGATGCGCGCATTTTAAAATGGCGGGAACACATTTTAATTGCCATTGTACATTGTAGTGCATAATGGGGTGTGTGGTCTGATACTTGATAGTAGACAGAGGTTATATTTGAAACATTCCCGGTGCCTTCAACTGTTCTTTACTGTGCATGCACTGACTATTTGATTGCTTAAAGTTAAACGAAAAGGCGAGCCTTCAAAAACATTAGTTTCAATCTTTTCATAGTTTTATGATGCAAATATAATTTGTCCATTTACATAACTGATAATACCCCCAATATCTTTTCAGTTGTGGAGGTCGGACCGAAACTGTAATCAGACACTAAACATTGACGAGGACCAATTACTCTACTCCTTCAATGATTAATAAAGATCGCTGATTGCTTTTACTAATGTATAGTGTTAAAATGAAAGAGAAATTGTTGAGACGAAAGAGAAAAAGGCACTCATTTATTTATAGTTTTATGTCTTGACAATGATATTCGAAAGCTAATTTTAAAAACTGGCTCTGAACCCTTGCTAAATGATTTAGGAAGGTGTACGGGATAAATATGCCTGTAGACATCATTTTCAGTGGGTTTTATGAAGTTTATGATTAGGGTATATTTTGGGACTGAAATAAGCGCAAGACCTTCGACGTTTCTATTGCTACTGTTTTTTTAATTTAGCAAATATACAAACGAATTTTATACTGTCGTAAAGATAAAATATTTAGTTATCGGATAGAGACTTGAAAATTAAGTATTACAATAACCAAGCTAAAATATTCAATGTTAAACTCAAAAATTCTCACGCGTTTATGAAGAAATATTTAGTTCTGCGCGTAGTTTTTTGGTCACATCTACGGCAAATTTTCGCCAATTTTGTTCATAATTTCAAAATGTTATTTAGTAGACAAATTACTTTCGGACTACATCCATATTGTTTATTTAAGTCTAAAAGAAACCACATTTATTTGACTTCAAAATTGTTCAATCTGAATACGAGCTAATTACGACGAAGGGAGGTCACGACACTGCGCGCAGGAGTGTTATTATAAATACCAATTTGCGTTTGCTCGCCCAAAAATTATTTGTTATCACGTGACTTTAATTTTGTAATTTTGCAGCCTAATAAAACAATAATAATAATAATAAACAATCAAATTCGTGTTTTACTAACCTGTCACGTGACCAAAACAGTTTTGATTTTTGCCTATAACACTACAGTGTACAAAAAACCATTTTTACCCTTCATCATTAATAGAAAGCCGGGTAATCGATCATTACTTGGGGACCCAGGCTATTATGTTCATAAACATATAAAGATTTTACTGGGCCGCGCTCAGCCTGTCATTCCACTGAATCTAGCTATTCGGCGGAATATTTATGAACATAATAGCCTGAGGTCCCCAGGTTGCAGGTAAATAAAAATTCGGCGGAATGCATGACAGGCTGTTATATGAGCGCGCCGCCCAGTAACAGGGATCAGTGTTCAAAAATACACCAAACACAAAACAAAATTACTTTCATACCCTCAGGGCCTTTTCATTAACAATTAAGCAATTTTCGAGATTTGGTTGAGCGACTTAGTGGAAGCAAAATGTTTTTGAAGTAGTGCACACTTGTCATACGTTGTATGACTTGCGGCGGGCAGCCGCGCACGAGTGCGCGCGCGGCTCCCCCTGTATCGTTAGTGAAACGACCGTGGGGGTCGCAACGTGATACAAGTGCACACCACTTTTTTTTAAGTAAAACAAAATTTAAATTTTATTGCCATATTACAATGAATAATAATATCATAATAAACATGGTTAAACTTAAACATTCGATAATACATGAATATTGGCTATGCTAATAGGTAGTGCGCCATCGACAGTGAGCCGCGCGTGCCGACTGTAGGATGGTTTTTAGCGCTAATTTCGGCCAGCACAATTTTCTTCAAACAAATAGATTTTAAGTATCCTTCCCGACCTCCGATTGCAATAAAAATTGGTAAGCTTACTCATAGACTTAAAAGGAAGGTGTCCGAAAAGTTTAAAGCATATCCAACCATCAGACATTATGTTACAGCTAAAAGCAGCGTATTTTGCACCATTTTGATCACTATATCAACTCCGATATCCACCAAATTTTTCGGACATTTGTGAAAGCCCTATTGGAAGGTCGTCGCCAATTTTCAGAATGATCTCATTCAAGGAACTGAAGATATATCCAAATAATACGACAAAAATCAACGAATTTGGTCAAATTTGGTCAAATTACGCGACTTTTACAGCTAATTTTGCTCCAAAAGCCGCGCACCATCAAATATGGCACCTAGGCGAAACTCACTGATCTTTCCAAAAAGGTATAACAAATTTGGTACTGTGGTACAGTCTCTAGAAAACAATGGTACAAAAATGTTTAAAATCCGAGCAAGTTTATTTTTATCGTGCACCTCCTAATGCTAACTTGTATCACGTGGTGACCCCCACGGTCGCTTCACTATAGTGGGTGTCATCAGAATTGCGAGATTCGCGAGAAATCTCAGGTGCAACTGGACGAGAAGAACTCGCGTGCGCGGGGCAGTAGACTCAGTACTAAATTGTTACCGCGTGTACGGGAGAGTCATCTCAGAAGGTTCTAGACTATTTGATTTTGAAGTTACATGTTAAATTCTTTGATGACGTGATCGTTGACTGGAAAGCTAAACCCTTACTTTTTACAATTTTCTAACTAGCAACACTTTCTCCTTCTTATTCTTATTTTAGTATGAACACTGAAGTCTCGGTAGATTGATTATTTTTGAAATGTCGATACTTGGATAAGACGAGAAAGCATCTTTCAAATTAAATAAGTTAATCCGGCATTTTAATCAGAAAAAATATTCCAAATTCAATCAGTAAAGCCAGAATTTTAGTCACGATATTTACGATTTACAAAACTCACCTCATATAACTCAAAATTGTATTATTGGTATCCTTATATTAATGTATAACACAACTAAAATTCATCTGCAATATAAATTAACATAGATCAGTGCTTCAAAGAAAAAAGATTGATATCAGACGGTTTCCGGTTCAGCAGCCAAATCTCTGGACTGGTCTCCGGTACTCGCTTACTACTACTAGTCATTTGTGACAATACATAAAGTGTGGTATGTGTTAGATATTTATACGAGGGTCTTTGATAAAAAACAGAGGCAAACCGAGGAATTGTCCTCCTGACCAAGGCCGAGGAAAAATCGCCGAGGTCGACCCTTGTATTTACATAGCATACTCTAGAGTCTAGATCTATAAAACGAAGTAAGAGTTACCACGTTACTCTTTTATCTCTCCGTTAAGCCTACAACTCCGCTAACTAACAATTGAGTATGAGGTCAATTAAATGTCCACAGATGTGGATTATAGAAATTACATTCAAACATAATTGAACAGCATGAGACAAGCGGAGAACAAACAAACGAATAGATTTCAAGCTCATAACGGATCGTTGCTTGATATTGGAGATTTCAAAACCTTAGTCCGACAGTCTAAGTTCTCTTGTCGAACTTAAGTGAGTGTCGAACTTGAGTCCAGATAGAGCACTTTGGTTCGAGTTCGACAGAGTCGAATCTTAGGGTTTGTCGAACTACAGTATAAGTGACGAACTACAGTGCGTGTCGAACTTGGGTACGTGTACCTAATTTACCATGGTTAAAACATCTTCAAACCGTAAAATGTGCAAAAAAAACTACATTTAAAGGATCCTCCAACATTGTCTACAGCGGGCAATATCCTTTATTTCATAATCACTCAATTCTTCGGAAGTATTCATAACCAAATTACGATCTTTAACATCGTCCATCAATAATTTAAGGGAACTTTTGCCGAAACAACCTATACGCCCTTTTAATTTTGACAGGGCAGCTCAGAAGTAAATGGTTCTTTAAGACAAAACATAGATAAATCTAATCCCTTTAAAATATGCGGCTCAGTTACTGGCACGTTCTTACCAAGACAATTTAAATATACCATCTAGCTTATTCATAAAACACATTTCGGAATACTTAGTGGTCTTAACATTCACCCTAGGCAGAACATCTGGGTGATTGTGGGTTATGAAGAGAGAGAGATGGTTGATCGTCTAGGTTTGAGATAGGTTGATTAGTTTCAGGACTTTAGTTCCAACAGACTATCTGTCTGTTCCCACAATGGAACTTGTAGGTTGCGTTGTGTTTTAGTTAGAGTGAGTTGACCAAATAATACGACTTTAAATCGGGTTGGTTGTAGCTATGTATCAATGTATCAGTGTATAAATGTATCAATGTATCAATGTATTAATGTATCAATGTATTAACAATTAGGAACGATGATAGGTTTTACTATGTCTTTGGGATGCAGTCAGGAAGTCAAGAAGTCGGGAATTAAGGGTGTGTCTAGGGTTTTTATAGGTTGTATCATTGACGTAGGGTTTACAATCACGGAAACGATTATCTTAGTCATCGTTTCCGCTACTCGAAATCATGAACAATGAGCGTGCACTGGACAAACGGGACAGAACAATGAGAACCCTCGCTCATCTATTACTCCATTAATTACTTTTTCCTATAAGATGATTCACCTATAGATGATTCACCTTTACGTTGTGAAGCCAATTGTTTGTTAACCTCTGGCGTCACAATCAGTTCCGGTTTGCAGTCACAGGCCCTGTCTGTGACCTATTAACTATAAGTTACCTCATTTGTAGATGTGCCAAGCACAAGTTGACAGCTGGCAACCTGCCAACAGGGGATAGAAATGTTATATGGCTTAGAGTGTGCAAAGGGTGGTCCACAACCTTCCCCCCTTAAGAAGAAAAAAAATTTTGGCAAGAATTTTGTTAGGAACCTACCATCGTTTTAAAATAAATATCGTAATCTAAATCAATTTTAGATATCTTGAAAGAAATAATTTAAGGTTATGAGCAGAATCTAGGTAAACTATAGGTAAAAATATAATATTAATCATAAGCTAAAATGTACTAATCTTTGTATTCTAAATGGGGAAAAAGAAGAAACATTGTCAGTCAGTCGAGAAAATTATCAGTCAGGCTATATGGCAGCTTTGTAGATGTTGTGACTATGTTAGTAGTGGTCCCAGGCTTGCGACTGGAATTGCGGTGTTGTGAATGAAATTCATTACCCTTTTTTATTTGTCTATAAAATACACGAATACTTAAATCACACGAAAAATTAATTTTAAAAATAATAATTTATTTTTGGATTTTTATCTTTTTCTCCTAAAACACAAGAATAAATATTTTTATATAGTTTGTCACAATCAATAATAACTAGAAACATCGGTAATTGAAACTTCTTTCCGCATTGTATTTATAATTGGTTTTAACAAAATTTGTTTCTCGTTACAATTGTATGTGACCACTTATAAATTCACACATAAATCAATTTAATATATATTGTCCAATACTTTACATACGTTTTTCAATTTTGAACGACACCTTGAAGGTTTAAAATAGTGTGTTGGTTGGTGAATCAAATTTGTGGTTCATCTTGGTTAAACTATTTTAGTGCTTTGTTCCTATTGAAGATAAATATGTAATCAATGTATAAGTGTAGTAAGTCATTAGTTTACTTGGCAAATGTTCGTAACTCTTAGTATAAATATTAAATAGGCACGATAGTTCAATATAAATTTCCAGGATTATTGTTAGTTCTTTTAGCAAATGAAATTTTTTCCTTTTGAGCCTTTTTTGCATATTACACTGTTTTGTAACAGTCGTTTGAAGAATCTTTTATTATTATTAATGTTGTTCTAGGTAAGCTGATATTACACACATTAATGGTTTTTTGACAAGGTTTTTCTGATATAACTGCTGGAAAATGAAATTTGATGTTTGGATGATACTTCGTGGAGATTTTGTTTTGGCTGCAAGGGTCAGTTCATTTTTTAGTTTTAGGAGGCGAGGAAGGGATGG